CGCCCCACCGCTCGGGACCACTTTGTATAAATTTCAGACACGAGCAAATATAATTATGCATAGAAACGACTGCTGGGTGGGTCGAGGAAAGGGTTGGGGCGTTGTTTGGGAGGGAGAGCGTGCGGGAGGCGGGGGTGAAGACAAGCAGTGCAGGTCGCGATGCTGCTGCGATGCAAGCCAGGTGGTCTGGGGGTTGCCTCCAGGCGGGCATAGGAGGGTAGCGGGGGACTCAGAGACAGAGAGAGAGCCCGGGCTCGGGGAGAGAAAAAGGAGCTCCGCATTCTGCCTGTAGTCTGCTCTCTCATGTGGGTGTACACAGTTTAGCCCCGAAGAATAACTTGTTTCTTATCTCCCCGCCCCTTCTCTTTGCTCCGGCTTAATTGCGCAGCTCCAGTCCTACGACGCGCCTCGCAGCCCCGCAGCCCACAGCACTACACTCAGCCAGAGTAGTCGTATAGTTCGCAACTCAACTTTTAGTTTTAACGCTGGCGCGTGGACGAGCGGCCTCTTAGCAGAACGGCGCGCCCGCAGAGAGCGCACTCCGTGCACAGCTCTGCCCCCTAGTGCGCGAGCAGCGAGGCGCTGGCGGGCACGGCCTTAGTGGTGCCGAGCCAAACACAGGCCGCGGCTACTTCACGGGGGGGAGGGGCGGGGCGGGGCCCTCATGCCGTCATTAGAGGCCCTGTCTGGCTGCGCGCCCCGGTCGCGGCGCCTCTGCCCGCCCCGCCCCCCAAAGAGGTGACACCTCACAAGTGTGTCTGGCCGACTAACTAACGACAACAAACGCGACTCCGCCCGGGCGCCCCTCTGCTCGCCAGAGTAAAGGGGAGGGGCGGCGGCGCCGGGTGGATGACGCAAATGTCACAAACATTGAGGCCGACTCGAGCCCACCACACAGTCCACAATCCCCCCGCCCAGCCTCGCCCAAAAGCCCAGCGCAGCACAGTTCTGGTCGGGTCCGCTCCTCCTGGCCGGTGCTGCGGTGGTCCTTGTGGAGCTTACGTGGCGCGGCGGGGTGCGGCGGGGTGTGGCGGGGTGCGGCGGGGTGTGGCGGGTCATGCGAGGGCGACCACATCCCCGGCGGCCAACGCCCGGTCCGGCAGGGGCGGGGCGGGGCGGAGGGCGAGACGAGGCGGGTGAGCATCATCAAAGCTAATCCTGGCCAGCGTGCCCGGCGTGCGTTGTGCCCTAATGACCTCCCTTCCACTCCTCACACCTCCCCCAGCGCCGGGCTGGCCGGAGCTCCGGGTTCCGGCCCCACAAATACGACTTTGATTCCGGGGGGCATTGTACGGCGGAGTATCTTGGACCGCGCCAGTGAAACAACCTTATTCCCCGCCCCTTCTAGGCTGTTCTAGGCAAGGGTCTGTGTCGGTTGGGTATGGGTCTCCACGACAAGGGCGCCCCGCCAGCCCCGCCAGCCCCGCCCGGCCTCCTTACTCTCACTTCCTCGTCCTCTCCGCTCGCTAACAACTCACGACGACAAAGGCGGATAATTACAGGAGCATGTCGCCCCTGCTCCCGCCGTCACGCCCCCGCCAGACCCGCCCGGCCCGCCTCCGCGCCGCCCCCCAAGCCCTCAGCGCGCCCTCGGCCTCCGTCGCACTCATCATCGGCCAATATGGCGGGACAAAGACCTGCCCCGCCTGGGCGCCGCCCCGCGCCTCCTGATCCTATCGGCCGCCTTCCTCCTCGTACAGGCCGTCACCCTGACTGTCACGCCTGGGCTGCTGGGCATTCCCTGCTCGAGAGTCTCTTGAGGCGGCCCTTCTATACTTGTTCTTCATCTCACTTGCACGCCGCCAACGCCCTCCTCGTCTCTCCTCCCTTCTTCTGCCCCGGCTCTTCTCGCTCTTCCTGCTCCTTCCCCTCTCCTTCTCCCAGCTGGTGCGTCACTTTATTCGCCCGAGCCCTGCCGCTTCGTTCGCATGGAATTCACTTTGGCCATCCTCCGGGGGGGAGTTCTTTCTCTCTGTTGCAGAAATCAAATTAAGATTCCGTTTTCTGCCCCGTTGTATTTCGCGGCCCCTCCCGCCCCGCCTCCCTCGTGGCGTGGCACTTCGTTACCGCTCACCAAACCCTTTGGATTAACATCCTGCCTGCAGCCAACCCTTCCCCCACCCGCGCTTCACCCCGTGCTCCCCTCCACTTGACGTGGCTTCCTTTTTATTCCTTTCGCCAGCCCCCTCCCCTCTCCTCTCCCCGGCGCGTTGCTGGTGCGACACGGAAGTGGATGTTTGCGTTTGCGGATGGATCAGTCGATGGGTTCGCTGGGGAGCACAGCCCGCTGACGTGGCCGGGGAGAACTGTTTTCTCTTCGGAAAAGCAGACAATTTAGCAACAACAATCCAAGAAAGTTTAACTCCACTCTACTTGCGCCACTTTCATGGTTAAATTCTACTTTAGAGTTGGTCGGTTTGGGGGATCTTGACAAAATAT